TCTCTCTCTCTCTCTCTCTCTCTCTCTCTCGTTATATTCTATACGTATCCTACAAGTTCTTTGGTCCTTAAGCGAAATACTTAAATCTTCGTTGAACGCATTGTTGAAGCGATATTCATTTGGCAAATGCAAACGCAAGCGATCAAGCTATTCGAAGTGACGCTACTTTGAGATGATATCTTGAAATCATGATATAAAAAAGAAACATGTCTCGAGCTATCCTAATTACGCGGCAATTAAATGTAAACGACAGATAACATCGATACAATTAATACTTTCGTGGAATTCATATTGCTTGAACAACATGCATTTGATAGTTGAACAATTACCTATTTTGTAAATATTACTCTTTTACAAGAATAATTAGATCTCTGAATTATAATTATATTATAACATATTATGTTCGATGTATGTATCGTCGCCTACGAGCACCGTCGATTGCTACAAATATATCTTTTTGTACCTGTTTCCTTCAATTAAATTGGCAACGAGAAGTCTCGCCTCGAGACAGCAACACTTTCCTCTTTCCTTTTGTTTCTTCGATAACTTTTCATTTCGCGTTATAAGACAACGGTATTTCTATGTATAACGATCATTTCATGTATTGCCGCTTCGGTAGAAGGAGTATAGCTCCTATAGCGACACACACGTGCCAAAAACTATGCACGATGTAGTAGTTCCTCCTTGTCTGCAGGAAGGCGTAACAAACGAGACCGAGAGAAACTAAAAGCAGCCCGGCCGGGAAATAAATGCTCCTGCGAACAATGAATAATGGGATTTTGCTGCGATGAAACTCGACGAAAACTTAAAGGTAAAAGACGTTTAGGGGGGAGGGGGAAAAAAAAGACACTACCTGTAAGGACGCGACGGATAGCGAACGGTGCCTCTCCTTTTGCATCTCATGCCCCAAGATAGGCCGATCAGTGCAGAGCCAGTTATGGCTGGCAGGAGAAACACCCAAAGTGCCGTGCGATCCATTTCAGCGCTCATGGCGAGGATAACGGCTCCGGTTATCTGACAGAATGCAGTGAGTTTCGGCCCGAACGAGGCCATTGCCACCAACGTCACCCAAATGGACAAGAGCGCGTTGAAGAAGTCGCAGAATTGTAAGACGCTCAGTCTCATGATGCACACGCTGTACACGTCCTCGCCAGCCTCGCAGGCATGATAGAACGTGGAGAAGAACATCACGGCAGCGTAAACTATCGCCTCCGTGAAATATTCTCGACGCACGGCCACGTAAACGGAGCCGATGAACGCCAGGTTGCTGAACGTTAGCAACAGCACGCGGACTATTATGTCGCTGTTGCTCAGCACGTACGTGTCGTCCGCGCAATCGAAGCCCCTGTAAGCGCCGGAACAGTGACACGCGGCGAACACAAAACCGCCGCTCATGTAATGCATACACTTGCCGTGAGAGTTGCAGCGACCTTCGATGCAAGGCAAAGAAGAGATACGGCTCTCCACCTTGGTGTTGCACGGGCTCATGCAGTCACAGTCCTCGCAGGCGGTCCCGTTCAGGCAGGTTGCCGCACAATGACAGTTCTCCTCCAAGCAGAACGCTCTCAGACTTATGTGCCAGATCCCTGGCTCCGGGAACGGGATGTGAAGGGTGGCTGGCCCTGTGTAATTCACGTAAATGTCCGCAGCCGTCGTGTTCTCCGTACGAGTACAGCCCCCGCCAGCAGTAATGTTCGAGTAATAACCTGGTAGAGTCCAGAGTGTTTTTGTTTCAGGCAAACTTTGTCGAAACTTTGAATTACTGACATTGACCCACCTAGTGAAATGCACGCGATCACGACAACGTTCTTCTTCTCCTTGTCCTTCACCAGGTCGACCAGCTTCAACCCCAGGGTCAAAGTACCGCCGACGTCGTACACTCGGCCGATTTCGAAACTGAGGACGGACAGGGTGTCTGAGGTGAGATTGAACGCCGACGGCTTTGTACTGTTGCCCCGCAGGTGCTCGTAGTCGAAGAGGAAGAAATCCGGCAACGACTTCCTCATCAAATCCACGGACTTCACCTGATCCGAGTCGTGCGTGGCAGAATTGTCGAGCAACTGCAGGGATACGTTCGAGGATTCACCGGAGAGCAACCGGAGGGTGACATAGTGAAACGCGTCCGAATACGGTTTGAAGAACACGGTGGCGTTCGTTGTGTTCATTATCATTCCTGCCAGGTGATCCTCCGCGATCACGTGCACCGCGATCCTACATTCTTCGCCGCAGGTCGACCTCAGCGACAAACTCGAATCCACGAACTCGTCCGGGATGAACAACTGCATCACCGCCGAGTCCACGCTCTCGTTCATATGCACCTCGTATTCCAATTTAGGGTCCATCGGCGAAACTACAGAGGCAGACTCTAAGAGCAATTCTGCGTCCAGCACGGTGTCGCACGACGCCCCAAGTCCTGAAAAAAGTGACAAAATATTTATACTTAATGTTAATGTTAAGTTATATAATAATGTAATATTAATGTTAAATATTAATATTGAATATGAAACATTTATATTTAATTTATAACACTTAATCATATGTCTTAACACATTGTTGACTCGTGTTTCCACTTGCACTAGCTATTTTAATTTTTTGACACTCGTTGTCAGGAGTAGTACAGAATATTGTAAAGTCTTCCTTCGTCGTGTTCACCTTATTATAAAAAGAATTACCTCCACTTTATTATAAAGAGATTTCCATCGCAATTTTAGTGTTACAAGAATCATGATATTGATTCACCTTTTAGGCTCTCTAAAGGGCGAAAAGACATTTTAGAAAAAATAGTCACTGGTACAAAAACAAAATCCAAGTAGAACGTGGAGAGGATGCTCTTTAAAAGGAAATCGCTGCGAAACCAGATATATTTGCAAAACCTATTGTGCTCCATTATACGTAGGTCATTGCTATACAGTTTATCAAAAAAAAAATTATTGAAATATATTATACATATAAAATATGTATATTATTATTTATACATATAAT